TCCGCAAGCTGGTGCTTGAAGCATTGCGCGGCATTGTTCCAGGTAACGCCATGGGCGGGTTGTACGCAGCCGGCGTGGCAGTCCCCGACGGTGCGATCAAAGTGGACGAATCGTCATCATCATCATCGTCCTTCTCGGCGTATGGGTTTTCCAGTCCACTACTCTGGGAAGCCATCCACGTGAAGTTCGTTGCCGGTCTCTCCGGGCTTTGTTGCACCTGGCCTGTCTTCTCCTTCCGTTGCTGCTCCAGTCCGGTCGCCCACTTCTTCATCATTTCCTCATTCTGGAACTTGATGATAAAGTTCTCCACGCCGGGATCACCCTTCCACCAAATTTGGACAGTGTATGAACCAGTCTTCGACAGTGCTACCACATCGGTCACATTCGTCATAAAAATCCGACCCTTAAGCTGGAGCTTATTGTTTTTGTTGCGAACCTTCGGTCCAGTCGACTTGGTCTTGTCCTTCTTATCCTTATTCTTGCCTGGGAGCAACTCTTTGCAGCAAAGCAAGATGTTCTCAAAGAGATAGATCTCATACTGCGTGGGTAACCCATCAGCATCATATATCTTGTTGTCAAAGACCCCCCTGATGAAAAGGTAATTTGCACTTACGTCCTTCTCTTGATCACTCTTGCCCGGAATAACGGTGTAAACACCGTGCAATATGAGTTTTCCAAATTGGCTGACTTGGTGGTTTTTCCAGTCGTCAACCCTGCCCATCAATTCTTCCAGTGCTTCGTCGAGCTCTGCGCGATCGACTGCTTCGTTGGCCTTTTGTAGCACGCGGCTGGCTGCTTCAATACCTGCCGAAAGGTCTGCTCTGACTGTTTCATCGTCACACTTCTTGAGCAATTCCTATCTCCAAGTCAGTACACGGCACACCGGTAACATGGGAAAATACACTTACGTTCAGAAGAAGTGGATATTTGACCAGTCTTTGCATCGGCTTCAGCAAGAACCCGTCAAGCGTGTTCAAGTCGCAGGCTACAGCGTGTGCTGCCGTCTGGATCTTGTCAAACACCTGGCTTGCTAGTTTGCCAGCCTTTTTCTGGTTTGCAATGAAGGGCTGGTAGCAGTTGTTGAATACCTCCTCGTAGGCTACAAATGGGCTTCCCCATTCTTGCCTGGCAGCCGGCATTGAGTTTGTCGTTTCTACCCTGATTAAGAATTTGCGTTGGCAGTCCAAGATGGCATTGATGTTAAGGAAAATGTTGTGCACAACATCTCCTGGAATAATGCCCCTCTCTTCTAGTGTCTTCTTCAAATCCTGTAGGTTCTCGAGATCCTGGACGTACTTCCGTTCCGTGTCTACCATCTCGCGCACAACGTAGTCTCGGTGGCTCATTTGAGAGCCTGGTTGCATCATATCGTCTTCGGGATAGGGCTGAACTTCGAGCATAAGACCCTTGACCTCGAGAAGATCAAGAACATAATTGATTACAGAGGTAACCTGAATCATTGTTAGCAAAACACCCAACTAGATCGGTGGGAAGGAATAAACACACCTTGACGAAACCCGTCGTGTCCTGTCCTGTCAAATCCGTAATGATGAAAGAATCAGCTGCGGGAACATTGAGCTTGGATTTGCAAGCCTCGACAAATCTCAGGATCGCAATCTTTGCCAGCTTGGACTTGTTGGCTCCAGGGGGTTCATCGACCTGGAGTGGCACTTCGGGTTGGAGAGCATTGTAGATAGCTAGCAGTGGAAACCCTGATCGTAGCAGCTCCCAGAGCGATTCCACTGGTCCCTCCATGGATTCGGCGGCCATTTCATTGAGTTGCTCTAGATACCCCTCAAAGCCGGGAACCTTGGCCAGCCGCTGCTTTAAAGAAACGCATATCTGGTATAGAGAGCGCGACGCATCGGCCTTTTGGTTGATGATGTTATTGGTGGCCACGACATTACCAGTGGATGATGCGGCGAAGGTTGTGGCGTTGTTCAGAGAGTTGAGAGACGTCGAGGAATTGGTTACTGGAAAAGTGGACGAGCCAGAAAGCTGGCTCACGCGTGGTGGCGCGCCAGGTACAGTCATGCTGGTTAATCTATCGACAACATCCATTGTTGCGGCAGGGCCGGTGTTCATGCGGAGTAGGGGAGCATGGGCCATAACCAGCTCTCCATCCGCAGACCGCCGTGTGGATTTGCCTGTAGAGGCAGTAACCGGAGTCGGCGTCGACGTCGGGCCTCTACAGATCTCGATCGGTCGGTCGGTCGGGGGAAGGGATTGAATTCGGGATACAACGGCGACGCAGCTAGGTGCTCGCTGTGTAGGGCGGATGAATGTCAGGTCGGTCGGCTCGCGGAATGTTGCAACCTAGCCAGAGCTGAAGTCTACTTTTTTCGAGGATCTCGAGTCGCACCGGGTATTGTCGAGGCTAGGTTGTCGGCTCCCGCCTTGTTTGCCTTGTCCCACAGCGCTTGCTTCCTCGCCGCCACTTTGTATCGCTTGCCGGCGGAATGGCAGGTGCTGGCCGCGGCGTCTCTCTACCGGTTGCTAGTGCAAAGTACCCAATCCGTGATGCTGCGAGCCTCGGCGTCGCAGTCTATCAATGTCGTCTTCGTCGTCGTCGTCGTCGTCGTAGTCAAGAGCGTTGCAACACTGTGTCTTATGTTCCAGTCTCGTCGGGCGTGGCCGATCCCAGTTCCTGCGTGGTGCTGCTCTCTCCCGTGGCTGGGGTGGCCTTGGCTCGTCGGCTCCCTTTCTCGCGGACAGCGTGTGGCTGAGTGGTGGTGGTGTGTCGGTGTGCGGTCGGGTGCGTGCGAGGTGTTGCGCCGGCTCGCGATGTCGCAAAAAGTGCGAGGATAACGTTGACGAGAGTGCTACTCGATCTCACGCACGTAGCGGGTAGCGGGTGCGGTGTTGAGATGTGGTTTGAAACGAAAGGTCGTGGCAAGGACCGCTCTCGGAGATGGTTGGTTGGCGTGCGAAAAGGATGAGCCAGCCCGGGGTTGGGGCGTTGTCTCTTCAGCGTGTGGGTTCCAGTTCGCTGTGGTCTGTGGTGGTGGTGAGTGCTGAGTGGTGCCCGTGGGAGAAAATGGGGGCCAAGAAATGTGCGGGCGGGGCGGGGACAACGGCCGGGTGTGATCAACGGCTGGCGGCCAGTGTCCCTAACTTTAGGTACTTGACCGCTAGCCTGCCCGCTGACGAGATTCCGCTTAGGAAACGTCATTTTGGCCTCCATTACTGCTGGGAACGAATGTAATGCATTTTTGATTGTCTATGTGACTGTCGCTGCTGCTGTGATGGGCCACCCTTGGCTATAGAATCGAAACATGAATGTTGATGTCCCCTTCTCAGCCTTGTTAGTCGCCAATGTCCCTCGCGGTAACGGTAACGTGCTCTCTGCAGGAGAGTGACATTCTCCCCCGTCTCCCTCTGTGTGTGCCTGGTCGATCGGCCAATAGGTCCAGTACAAAGTGCGGTTTACCTGACAATTCCATGTCGTGCCGTTCCGCATGACTGTTTTTGGAATCAAGTGTCCTGTGTCGAGTGTGTTTGGGAATAACACATCCCTCGAGCTTTGCCGAAGCGTGTTTCGAGCCTCCATCGTCCAAGTACTTGTCTACCCGATCTTTTTGCTGTTCTAGAGAGAAGATAACAACCCTTGGAGAATCAGGATATGGATGACTCTTAGAGATCAATGCTTACTATAAACAATAGGGCCGCGAGTAAGTGAATGCAGATGAGTTATTGCGTTCATGTACATTCAAATCAGAAGGGGTCAAACTTGCTCCACCTCCCATCTTGGTACGTCTCCATACTGGGCTTTGTGCCTTGCCCAACCAATTTCCAACATTTTAAAGCCCTCGGAAGACGGCAGCGTTTTCCTTATGGCTTCCATTTCTGAGATGGTTGCTCTTCTAGAATATCTCCCTCGTTGTCGTCTTTGCCGTTTCCAACCGGCGATGCATGAGGCGGAGGGGTCGTGCCCCTCCATCAGGCATCAGGCATGATTTGGGGTGGGTCCAAAATGTTTCAGGCGTTTCCCCAATCTTCGGCGCTAATCCATATTTGACTTCCAAGTGGACCACTCCCTAAAAGCTTAAGCCAACTCTTGACAACCCCAACCCTTCTAAAGCACGGCAACGTCAACAGCAATGGTCCCGTCACCACGTTGCTGTCAAAGAGCCTGCAACAAACTCGGAAATCCCGCCGTCAAAGATCTTTGTCATTCCATCAGGCCACTGCAAGAACAATCAAAAATGAAATTCTCTGAGTCTCTCGGGCCCTGATGCACCCCGAAATTCCATTTTGAGACCCGAGAGTGTGGTTGCGGAATTTTGGAAGAGAACAGGATCTTTTCCATGATCACCTATGACGAGTCTGTGCGAGTCTCTCCTTTAAAGCGTCGAGTTGTCCTAAAATCGAAGCCACTAGGCTCTACCTGGTGTTGTTTGGGGGAAAAAAAGGACCTGGGGCTTTCAATGTGGTACCTGTATGGTTGTACATTTTGAACGGCTTCAGCCACTCAATCATATAAGCCTTCATTATTAGAACAATCATCAACACATACACCATAGTAACTATAAATGCCCACATACCAGCTTAGAGTTCAGCCTCGTCGACGGTGGCACCTAGTGGAATCCAAGTCAGCGACCAGGATAAAGCGGGAAAATAAATGCATAATCTCATCAGAAGCCGCCGAGTGTAAAGAAAGGTTTTACAGCAAGTAGACACTACCTACTCAAAACCGACTTTTGGTGATGGCTCTGTGCTGTTGTTCCATAATTTCAATTTGAGGTGTAAGCGGGGCTAACCGCTTTAAGACCGCAGTAGACCGCTCGGACCACAAAGTATGAAAAGTGGGACCAACCCCCAATGCCGGGTTTGTCAGCGACGCAAGACTTGATGATGTCGATGCCCCGAACATAGAAGGCCCAGCCACTGCTGAAGAAGAGGGAAACAGGTATCTTCGAGTGACACACGACAAAGGAGACTTGTGGAAGCATGCACAACGCTTGGCTTCTCTCAGCCTGCCCACCAGCTAGAAATCAATCATTGCGGAGGATTCGCTGACCAGCGCAGCGAATCGCCAACGGACCCAGCTCTGGAGTAAAGGCACGTTCAGTCGCCATTCCAGCTTCCAGCTCCGCACTGCCCTGTCAGTGGTCTTTGGAGCCTGAACGCAACCGCCATTGTCCAGGCACACAACCACAACAACTCACACTTGCGTATCTCGCTCTCGGGCGCATCACAAAACAGAGTCGTCCTTGCGTCTTCGCTTTACCTGCCAACCCGAGGTCGTGTCCGTAGCACCAGGCTCTCGCATTCTAGGAGCGACAGACCCCAACTTTTCCGCCCGCCGACTCCTGGCAGCGCGCTTACTCCGTAGTGTTGCAAATCATGGCTGGTTTCGCTTCCCAGGCCGACGAAGGTTACTCAGAAGACCCCCTGACCGCGATTTCCGCTTCTGCATCCTTCTCCCACAAGACGCGCGACGATTCGGTCTCGGCCCTGAGTTCCTCTCAAGCTGCATCGGATTTCCCGGCATGGATGCTTCAACATATATCTAACCTCTCCATTTCTCGCAAGACCGGTACGTTGCGCTCCAAGCTGTTCCATCCAACAAAGGCTAGTGGCCGCGGCGGGTGGCTGATGCTCCGGTTGCACCCATGCCATGCTTCCCGATGATCCTATGGTTTTGATATTGTGCCGACTCCAACTCTAACCTTGACACCGGGCAGAACTTGCGATGGCGCTCTTAAATGACCTTCCTACCTCTGTAATCTCGGAAATAGTAGAACACCTCAACCCCAGACTCAACATCGACTTCATCCGCTACCTGCCCCCCGAGGTGTGCCTCAAGATTCTCAGCTTCCTCGACCCCGTCTCGCTCATCAGCGTTGCGCGCGCATGTAGAACATGGTACAGCCTCGCTTTGGATCGCAAGCTGTGGGAACAGCTGTATTATATGGAGGGCTGGTCTGCAAAACCGAAAGAGATCGCCGCCTGGGAGAAGAGCATCAATGGAGTTCGTCAGGGAGTGTCACGGCGAGTTGACTCGGAAACTGAGGGTCATGCGCATAAGAAGCGCGCCATTACCGTCTCTTCAAACCTCGATGCTGACATGGATAGTGTCATGCTGGACGCGGGAGCAATAAAGCAGGAGCCCGCCGAGATGGACGCGTCAGAAAGCAGTCTGTTTGGCGGACCGACAGGAAGTGCTGACGGTGGTAGCATCTCACGAAGACTGGATGATCTGGAAGTAAAGAGTGTTGGCTCAGGTTCGGGGTCGGCGAATAAGAGCGCCTCGCTGGACAAGGGCAAAGGGAGGGCACGCTCACCGGAATCCAGTTCTTCAACGCGATCCAAAGGCAACTTCTTGGACACAGTACTAGCCACGCCCCTATCAAGATTACCGAGATCCACGCTATGGGTTCTGGATGACCACGACCGCAGATATAAGCTTAATTGGAAGCACGTATACACAATGCGCCGACGCCTCGAGTCCAACTGGGACCTAGGAAAATACACAAACTTCCAGCTACCCCATCCTAATTATCCAGAAGAAGGGCATGGGGAATGTATTTACAGTCTGCAGTTTAACCCACAGTATTTGGTCAGCGGCAGTCGAGACCGGACGATCAAGGTGTGGGATTTGGAGACACGGCGCTGCCTCCGCACCTTGTCGCAACATCGCGGGTCGGTTCTCTGCCTGCAGTTTGACTCTGACCCCGAGGAGGACATCATCGTGTCAGGCAGTTCGGACTCGGACGTGATCATTTGGAAGTTCTCGACCGGAAAGGTGATCCAGACACTCAAAACTGCCCACCGGGAATCTGTACTCAACGTCAAGTTTGACAAACGGATCCTGGTCACTTGCTCCAAGGATAAGCTGATCAAGGTCTTCAACCGCCGACCTCTGCGCGCTGGCGACCTTGGATACCGGGAGGTGAGCCCCGTGCCCACCACCATCAACTACGGTTACAACATCCCTATGGCTCCCGAGGACCTCCCACAAACTCCGGCTTGGACTTTGATCGGCGTATTGGAAGGCCATAGTGCGGCCGTCAATGCTGTTCAGATCCACGACCGGGAAATTGTGTCTGCAAGCGGTGACCGCCATATCAAGGTTTGGGATTGGCCGACTCAGACATGCAGCCGCACCATTGTTGGCCATACCAAAGGAATCGCATGCGTTCAGTACGATGGCCGGCGAATTGTCAGCGGTAGCAGTGACCATGAAGTAAAGGTGTTTGACAGGGCGACAGGTCTGGAGGTAGCGAGCCTTCGTGCGCACTCTGCTTTGGTACGGACGGTTCAAGCTGGATTTGGAGATTTGCCCTTCCAGGCCGAAGATGATGCGGAGGCGGCAAAGAAGGTGGATGAGGCTTACTTCAAGGCGCTCGAGGCAGGGTTACTTGACGGCACAGACCGCCCGAAAGCTGGTCGTCGGCAGGGAAATGCAGGATCCAGAAGACCGGAGGACATCTGTGCCTACGGTGCAAAGCTCCCACCTGGAGGCGGAGGGGGCAAATATGGCCGGATCGTCAGTGGCAGTTATGATACTAGTATTATCATCTGGCGCCGAGACAAGGAGGGCATCTGGAAAGACCAGCAGCACCTCAAGCAAGAGGAAGCCGCTGCCGTTGCGGTCAAGCTGGGACGGACAACACTTCCCCCGGTGTCGAATTTCCTGGACGCTGCTGCTGCGGCGATCCCTTTACACCCTTCGGTGCGACCGGGTCCCTCGCAACAACCCGGCGGTTCGTCAAGCACGCTCACAGCAAACAATTCCCTACCAACACAGACCGCGAGCGCACCACCAAGCACATCGGCCGGGCCTTCAGTACCGCCTCCGAGATCGGATAGCGAACAAATACGGGCGCTAATCGACGAGGCAATCCAAGCAGGCGCCCAAGCCTTTACACGCGCCATCGGCAACCATCCCATCATCTTGACACAGCGACAGTACATTGAAGGCAAGATCGACCGATTGCAGAACGCTGTCACACGGAGTCAGCTTCGACAAGCCTTTTCTGGTGCTTTGATTAGAGCTCAATTCGAGCAGACCAGGCTACGACGGGAGGCTCAGCGGAATGCGGAAGCGATTGCGGCAGCAACGAACGCACTGACGGGCCCTTCAGCATCTTCACAACAACACAGAAGCAATACCGAGCCTGCTCAGGCATCATCATCATCGTCGTCATCAGCAGCACCGGCGTTACCGGCAGCTCGGCTGTTGACGGCTAGCCAGCAGCAGGCGGCCGTAGCGTATCAGGCACATGCGGAACTGGCTTCTGGGGGACACGGACGTGTGCATCAGGTACAACTCCCTCCTGCTCCTTCTTCCACCTCCACCCCCACTGCCCCGGCTCCTGCTCCTGTTCCTGCCCCTGTTCCTGTTCAGACAAACCATCACCCTCATCATCACCATCCACACGTTGCCCATAATGCTCCGGTTGAGGGCCACGACGCGGCTAACCCGGCGCGCGTGTTCAAGCTTCAATATGATGCGAGACGGATCATTTGCTGCAGTCAGACGAGTGTGATTGTGGGGTGGGATTTTTGCAATGGGGATAAGGAGTTGGAGCAGGCGGCGCAGTTTTTTGGGCCGGTGGAATAGATGGGGGGATGCAGGAGTGTGAGATCTTTGTTGGAGTTTTTGGAGGAAAATGGGTGCTGCTGTATGGGTCTCGAGAAAGGTGCGTGTGTATAGCTTTGTAGTTTGTTCTCAGGAACTTGTTTCTTTTTTTTTTTTGCCTGATCATTTTTTGGATCGATACATAACGACATTTGGGGGCGGGGAAGTGGTATTTAATTAGAAGGGGTTTTTAAATCATAGCATTATCCGACCGGGAGATATACGAGAGAGGCCATGATGGCTCTTCAGCAGGTGTGTCTGTGGCAATGGTGGGCGTTGAACAAAACTTTGTTGTCTTTTTTGCCTATAAAATGTACCATGATCCCCACACACTCCATTCCTTGTACACAGCCGCGCTCTCTCTCCCATCTTTTTGGGGGAGACATTAACCAGCAGCCTCCTTGACCTTGCCGGCCTGCCCAGCAACAGGCGGCTCATCGATAAACTCGGGCACCTCATCCTGCATAAAACTCGGCAGTGAATTCATGTCCCCGCCCATCATCTCCCTTTCCAACTCGACCTCCTGCCCCAAGGCTTCGAGCTCGGCATCCAACTCTGCCTCGTCCACATCTTCGGGAATGTCATAACTCCTCGCCAGGCTTTCCTGTATCTCATTCCCCACGTCCAGCAGATCCGCCATCTCGTCCTGCAGGCGCTCAATCTTGTCGATGTCGACCTTGCCGTACTCTTTTTTCAGGGCCTTGTTTGTTTGCTTTAGTGCGTCGATGGTGACCATTGTGTTTTTGAGGTTGTCCTGCATTGTCTGGGCCTGCTCCATGTTCCAGACTTGGGACTGGAGCTGGTCGCGCTGGGCTTCGTATTGTTTGCGGCGCTGGAGGACTTTGAGGGCTTTTTGCTTTAGGGCGGTCTTGCCGGGGCCGTCGCGCATTTTGGAGAGCTTGGTTTGGTAGGTTGTTAGCTCGGTGTTGAGGGCGGAGAGCTTGACGTCGATGGAGGAGATGCGGGTGTCGAGGGAGGTGATGGCGGTGTTGAGGGTTGGTTTGGGGGCTTTTGGGGCGGGGGTGCCGAAGAGGCGGTTCATTTTGGCGGTTTTTGGGCCTGGGAAGGGCTTGGAATTAAGGGGGGAGGTTGTTGTTCGGAAAAAGGGGTTGCGATGGCGATGATCGCAATGGTGGTGGTCGCGATAGTGGTTTGGTGGTTGGGTTTGGAGGGAATGCGACAAGCGATGGTTGGCTGATGACGATGATGGGCAAGGCAGCGATGCTTGGAGGGGCTTGTGTGGGGTTGTTGGGGGGGAAGCGGTTGTTACATAAGCGAGGCTTTCGCTTATCGGACTTTGCCAAGATAGAATGGCGGGCAACGCCAACCCCGATTGCCGATTGTTTGGTAATCTAGGTATCAAACAGTACTCCCTTTGCTCGGTTTTTAGAATGCCGACGAAGAGTATGGTTGACATCACTGGCGACGATATAAAGGCAAGTACTACCTACCTTAAGTCTTTCATTTTCTCAATATCTTTACTGTATCGAGCACTTTCTACTCTAAATTCTCCAAAAAGATAATTTGGTAACCAAAGTATCATACCCTCAACGACCACACCATCGCTGCAATATGGCATCCAACACCATCCTTGTCATCGGTGCGACAGGCCAGCAAGGCGGCGCCGTCGTCATCAACCCGAAGTTCCATCAGACAGGGGTCATCAACTCAAAGAAACATTGCGACTTCTACGACGACCGAGACTACTGAGATGGTCACGGCAACTACGTCTTCTGCTCCTGTTTGCTCCGGCTACACCGAATACTGGTCCGCCTGCTCGTGCATTGGTGCCGTCGCCGACATCACCGAGACAGTCACCGCTGAGATCGCTGAGACCTCTATGTCAATGATCTCTGCAACAGCTAGCAATACCATTTCCTCCACTTCTGTGTTTGTCGTGGACAAAACCGTCACCACAACTGATTACCCGCTCGTGACTGTGTCCACCACGTCAACCCTCCTCACCAACACCAGGACTACAACAACCACCACGACCACTGTATAGCCAGTCCAAACGATCAATGTGGTTGTGGTTGGAGGCATCTATTCGGCCCGGTACCTCTCTGGCTCCGACAACAGCTATATAAGCTCGGCTGCCAACTTAGCTGGTGCAACTAATATTTTGTACCGCCCTGGTGAACAGCCTCTGTTGGCTGCCGACCCTAGGATCAAGCTCTATGCGAGACAATACGACACTAATCCCCACGGTATCTTGTACTTTGCGAGCGACCAGGTGGCTGCTGGAAGGGGAGATGCGGTTGTGACATGCAAGGTTGACCAGGACGGCTTCGTGATCTGCATCGCACCTGGGACGGGGTACACTAAGCTCACGACTTGCCCCTCCTCGGGTATCTTCATTTTGTCGGCACCGGACTACAGGTCGCCGGGCTGTGCCGAGCCGGTTCAGTTCAAGGTCGGGAACAGAGTAAGCAAGCTGGTCATGCTCGACGACCCCAGCCAGTTTAGAGGCATGTACCTCACAGGCTCCGTTTCCGCCTCTCTGAGTTTTAGTGACAGCGCGGGTGGCGCAACCGACTTCGGGCATACCTCTAGTGGACTATGGGACGTTAGTTGATAAGGATGCGGCCGTCTTATTCCTGAAGACACGCGACGACGCTTTACAGAGCGGGGATCGGTCTGCGACATGCAGCGTTGTCCGGGACGGCCTCATGAGATGTTCTATATCTGCGCTGGAGTTGGGTTCGTTATGGCGCTGCGATATAAACTCATTATTGCAACAGCGGATTGGATACGCCCCGGCTGTGTTAGAGCTCAGCTCAAGGTCGCGTAGATGGTCTGCGTGGTGGGGCTTTACACCTAGGTACCTAGTTATAAAGAGATTGCGCCGGGTAGGGGATGGGAATGACGCGGTTTTACATATGTGTACCCCTAGTGGCTGATGGGTATAGAATACGTAAGATGAGTGTCTTTTGAGATCTCTTTCGTCCAATTTACACATGAAGGTGACAATACTTATCTCCGAGCACTGTGACATATTTAATGTAGGTCAGCATGAGGAACGATTCGCGTGAATAACATTGCTAAGATAGTTTCTGAGAGGCCGGTATAACCGAGGGGAGCACAGGGTTTGGTGTAAGTCGGATCGCTAAATAGCCAAGTTGAAAGAGTACATACCTTTATAATGCCCCTAACTTTGGTACTATTCAGCGAAGCACACCCAAGGCCGACTATGAAGGTGCTCCGAAAATTCGGAATTTCCAATTCCCATAGCCCATCAGGGTACCACTGAAAAGCAGAATCATCTTGGGCAAATGCCTGTTGAACTGTCTTTCCTAAGTTTTGCCACTTCAGCCTTAACAACATCAAACCTTGATCCCAGTACAACAAGTGGGTTCTCAACCTCCACCAACCACAAGCCACGCAAAAAAACGAGGGAAAAAAACTGAAACCATCCCAAACGCCGAAACTCCCGATCCATGAAGCCAATTCCCAGCCAACCCGTCCATCAACTCAGTGGCCAAGGCACATCGCCCGGCTAGCTCAATCGGTAGAGCGTGAGACTCTTAAGGAGTTCCTCCGTAATCTCAAGGTTGTGGGTTCGACCCCCACGTCGGGCTCAATTCCCGTTACACGATGTGGTCATTTCTTTTTGCCCATAAAAGCTCCCTGTCTGCTCAGAAGGGTCCAGAACTAGTAGCCATGAAGACAAAAAACCGCACCTTCTGAACAACAATGAAGACTCGAACCTGTCATAATGATCACGAGGGCGAGAACGTGTTCCTTGACCTGATAGTCCACTTTATGTTTTGAGGGAAGTTGCTGACTCAGCAAACGGGCTTACGTGTTAATAACGGTAGACGTCTTGAACGGGATGTTTCTTGCGATTCCGTTTCCCCACTCCGTTTCCCAAATCTACAGTTGTGTGTTTCTAACCACTGCTTTGTGCCCTTCATGTCACCAACGCGTTGCAAATTTTCTTCGTATCCAACCAAACGCGTTTGCGGCGGTTGCAAGGCGCAGCTGCCCTTGGCATGAGGGGTAAATGGATAAAGCCACTTTTCCCAGCCGCTTTTGCGTATTGCTCCCCTTTGTGGGCTAACATGGGTTAATGTAATCACGCTCCATAGTCTGTTAACTTCACAACCTTCGATGGGGTAGATTACTCCACTGCCTTGGCGGCGCTCCTGATAGACTCATCCAAGCTTGGCCCAAGAACGAGAAGAAGGTCGGGCTTCTTTGTTGATTATGGTTGGTGAGATTGGCGATGTTTCCACCACCCCAGTTATTCTCAGCTAGGTAGAGGATATTTGGCCAAAGTCGGCCAATGGAGCTCTTCCGCCGTATATCAATCCAGTCCTGGTTGGGGATGCCAAAAATCGACAACAAGGGCTCTTCTTCGTCCGCAAGATCTCCCTCCAGTTCCTCATCCTAGAAGTAAGCTTCACAGCAGACCAGGCATCGCAAGGATTCAGCACTGCCATGTAGTGGGATGCAATTTGCGGTAGCATCTTCACCCAACGAGAGGCTGATTGTACGTTCAAACCCGACCACATTCCCATTGTTCTCTGTGGGCTTACTGCTACTGGACTGTGCCGTGGATCACGAGTGCGAGCGCCAGGCCTCGCATCCGTCTCTGCGTATTTCTCAGGGCCTTTTCGTGGAAAACCTCGCCCATAGTATATATACTACTTTTGGAGTCGTAGTCCTGGACCTGTCAGCCAATACTAAGGCAGTAGAATTCAACTAACTTATGGGAATACCGGCAGCCGTGCTGATCCCAGCCTTGTAACCACCAAGACTTGTTTAGCCCCAGCTACAACATTTGCAATGATTCGTAACTCGGGCTCTATAAGGTTCCAGACGTAAACAAAATGATCTGTCAGTATTTCACCATTCAGGTTCTGTGCGGTCTCCATTCTAGGTCTCCTTCTAAGCGATGAGGGAGAGTAAGAGACAGAAACAGGGGCACTAGAAGCTGCCTCAAATAGTAGCCTTTACCGCCCACCCACACTGGAATCGCGGGTGCTAATCCCGTCGCATTAGCAGAGAACCAACAAGATCTCGCCAAAGAGGCGTCTTGAGGTTGTCATTGGTTTTAGTACGTGTGGTTTACCCTGCTCAGCAGGAGGGGGAAGCCAGGGTATAACGAGAACACTATCGCCACCTCCCTGAGTCTCTCCAACTTCACCCATCTTTCTTCCTCGCTCCCCTCACTACATATATCTCCCCTCCAAGCGCTCATGCGGCCGGTCACTCTGTCAACCCTGGTTCAAGCTCGAGTCTGCCGGTTATCATACCGAGTGACCCATCTATTGTCCCCCCAAACCCGCCTGGTGGGACGGCTTTGAACTTGGGAACCTCGACAGGTTGCATTTTGCCAGGGTCGAGGAGATAGTCCGACACCGCTCGTCTTTGCGGTCGACCAGTGATGCCAATATAGATTCGCTAACTATCGATGACCAATCAACCGCTCACGTTCTCCGGAACCCCTGACGGTTATCCAGGGTTGCACGAATGGACCGTCCTCCTTCGACGGTCAGCAAGACTTGCCTAAATAAAAGCTCCTCCTCCCCGAAAGTCAGTCAGAATTACAAAGTGAATTGTATATCCCGCCTTAGACCGGTAGTTCTAGGCCTCTCAGAATATGTAGATAGGGGAAGGCTAACTATACTTACGGGAATGCCTGCGGCGGCGCTATTGCCAGCCCCGATGAACACTAAGTTCGCGCTGGAAATAGTATTGGCAATAGCACGCAGCTCGTATTGGTAGTCCTTTGAACGTAAACGTGGGATCTTGTGTTCCAATACCGTGCTGTCTAGAGGGTGTTCAGATGCTATCTTAGGCTGGGGAGGGGTAGGAGAGGTAGGAGAGGTAGGAGACAGAAAGCGGTGTGGCGAAGGCATCAGTGTGACGAACCCCTGTACAGAACCTCTGAAAGGGATACTGGTTGAAGGTAACTTCTGACAATTGGTTCGGTGCAGCTAAATAGTGCACAACAAGATGTCTCAATCACAACAGCTAAGATACCACGATTGTGACTTGTCATTGCATACTGCGGAACTGTCTATCTACACCAGCCAGTTCCTCCGTATATATAGACCTTGGGACCGTGGACCGTTGACTTACAGACGGTCCTCGGTACTCACCTTATTGGTCCGTCCTGAACTGTGGACCGTGAGCCCCGCCGCGGTCCCCGGTCCCAATCTTATTGGTTCTCTAATGATTGGCTGCGGGCGCCCGGCGCCCCGTACACTGTCTGACCTGCTTGTTGGCTTACTGTGACAACAGCCCCGAGGGGATTCTGGCGCCAAAAAATGCACCTCCATCACGAATGCGCGGGAGGTGTTCCGGAGTAATCAATGGGTGTGAGCGGAAGTAGAATGGGCGACACCTTCCGGCCTCCGTTGCTGCCGCCGTTTGTAGGTCGTTACGGAGACGGTGGTGGTCCGGGAACGCGAACGGGATCTTATTCGGCAAAACATCGGGCGAGTGACACACTAAACCCGCTGAGTCATCATTTACTCCTGCAATTCCCAAGATTTTGTCCTGAAATCTCTCCTCCTGTTCTCGCTCAATCAATCAACACCACCATCCACCTTTGGATGGTCTAACTCCACTGCCCTTTTGCCTGTATACTTCTGAATAAAACATGTTGCAAAGTAAGTCAATGTAGTTGAGAGAGGATTCTATACCACGCTTCGAAAGATAGTTGATAGCCGTCGAGGGGCGTCCATCAATAACACGTGAAGAGCCTTTGGTACGCCTATGTTTTCAAGCTAAAAAGCCGCATGTCAATTATTACTATTAGTGTTGGTTACTGTGGTCCGTCATATGATCTCTGTCTTCAAAGAAGACTGCAGCAGTCCCATGTATCTACCTACACAGGACCGTTTAAGCTATATCCTTCATTGAGTTTGGGCTTGGGTTTTGCTCCAGTTTAATTTAACTGCCGACCTTGTAGACATCAAAGTGCGAGGTCGAAGTTAAAAGGCATGACTTTTGGGGAGTGGTAAGATGCTCGATTAGTGATCTACCGATGTTTTCTGGACCCCGAAAATTCTTTTCCTTTCTTTAAGGCATACAGATTGCACAAGAAGTATCACATATGACCATAACCAACTGCAAACTCGGGATCCCGTCCGCTCTCCCCTAAATAAGCAGTTGAGTGCCGAACTAGTACTCAGGTGGGTGACCACTGGGGAATTCTCGGTGTTGTATGTTTTAAAGATGATTCCATCACTTTTACCAGTGGCAACTCTTTTTCTTTTTTTCTTCCTTAACAATATTGTAATTTTGTCCTGGAGAACCCTTTCAGGATGTCTGCATTACGGTCAACTTCCCAATTGACGAATCAACCCCGACCCCTCATCTCCTCGCGTTCGCTTCTTTTTCTCGCTTCCAGTTGAGCTGCATGTCAGGGTAGTATTGCACGGCGACCTGTTACTAAAACATCTCCAGCGGACCTAAATTTCAATAGTGGCCTCCTCCCCTCTCTCTTTCCCTGAGTTTGGCTAACTATGACCCTGGGCGCATAAGAATAGGGCAGGCAACCATTACAAGCACTTGGCGACTCGCCTCATAGGGCGACAGGGCTCTCGGACTCGGTAGCGTGGGTCCCATGCACGGATGCTATGTAGGGTTCGGAATAGGAGATGAGGCTGTTCAGCATCACAGGTGAGGTTGCTTTTGTATATTAAAGCTGAACTTTACTCCAATGCTGTTGAGTCCTGTCTCGTTTCCACCCTCACCCACGCCCACGCCTTCAACTTCCCGTCATCAACTCCATCGGCATCATGAAGGTCTCTCTCGGCTCGGTGCTCCTTGGAGCGCTGCTTGCCAGCACACCCGCTGAGGTTGTGGCCCATCCTGGCCATCCCAGTACGTGCATGGTCACCACCAAGCGCAAGGAGTTCCGAACCTTGTCCAACGTCCAAAAGCTCAACTTCCTGGCCTCGGTCAAGTGCCTCATGAACCGTCCCCCCGCCCTTTCAGCCACATACCCAGCCTCGACATCACGATGGACCGATTTCCTCCTCGTTCACCAAGCAAATACCCCTTTTGTTCACTGGGTGGGCCAGTTCCTCCCCTGGCATCGTGCGTTCCTTCAGGACTTTGAGGATGCCCTCCGCAATGAGTGCGGTCTTATCGGCGGCATCCCCTACTGGAACCCGGCCCTTGACTTCGCCAATCTCACCGCATCACCAGTGCTGTCTGGCCCTCTATCCTTTGGTGGGAACGGTGTTGGTCCCGTAGTCGTCCCGCCAGGAGGCCAATCCAGCGATGGCAACTGCGTCATTGATGGCTTCTTCGGCAACGTCAGCGTCCGGGTTGCCCAGGGTCCTCCTCCGGGCCAGGTTGCAGACCGGTGCCTCTTGCGCTACATCCGCCAGGACTTTGCCTCCTACTGGATGAACCCCAGCCATGTGGCCACAGTTTTGGCTCAGCCTGACTACGCAACTTTTGCGCCTCTCATTGAGGGTGATATGATCCCTCCTGATGTTTTCCCTACCATGGGCGTAAGTCTTTGCTTCGAACACACACCAGGACTCGTAGCTCACACTCTCTGACAGATTCACACTGGTGGCCACGCTACTATAGGTGGTGACATGTCTGACATGTTCACCTCTAACTCTGACCCCATCTTCTACCCTTTCCACGCCAACATTGACCGTCTCTGGGCCAAGTGGCAGGCTGCCAACCCCACTGCTCGTCAGTACGACATCTCGAATCCCATTGCTCCACGCGGTGTTATTCAGATGTGGCCCAACCCTCCTGCCGGCAATGTTACGCTTGACTATCAGCTCTCGCCACTCAAGGTGGGTGACTCTTCGACTGTCACCACGGTTGGCCAGATCATGAATACCAAGGGCAAGGGGGTGCCGTCTGCGCCTGGGAAGCCTAATGGGATTTTGTGCTATGAGTATGTTGAATAAGATGTTATGTTAGCTTGGCGTGTAGTAAAGGAATAGAAATTTGAGGACACCTATCTGGTGCTCTCCTTTCAGCAGAACTCGTGTTTGCTACGCTGTGTCGTAGCTTTGAAGTTGTGCCTTTTGCTTTTCTATATCTGCTAGGCTTTGTTGGAAGAGGAGTTAGAAGGGGGTGTTTTGCCGCTGTGATGACTTTAGGGGATGATGTCGATTCCAAAGAGAATAAATCTATTCGGGATTTTTTTAAGCTGATTCGAGACGGGTATAAACCTACTGTGACTCTACTTCCACTCCCTCACACGCCTCCACGCTTCAACACTGTGCAGTCTCACACTGAAGTATGAGTTCCCTCTCTAGGTCCCTGCTTCATGGCACTGGCTGCTTGAATCCCATTCCATGGAAGATCTGAGCCAAAGTAACGGTCCAAAGCGTCTTTCGAGAGCTGTTGCTTGTCCTCTTTCAGGCTATCCTTGTTCGACTGCGTGTTGCTGTTCGGGCTAAAGAGATGTATAGTCAGTGAAAGCCAGCAGTTTGGCGCAATGAAGGGGGGTCGTATCAATGATCCGAATCAGAATAGGATTACCCACCAGGTGGTAAACCCCGTCTTGAAAGACTGGCTATTTTTGATGGGGAACTGATTCAATATGTTGGGGGGGCTTGGTGTGGCCAGTATGAGTACCTGAGGTAATGGGAACAAAGACATCCTTGTCATTGATCTCGAACGAATATAGCAGGCGAAAGTCTTGTGCGGGCAGTGGATCAATTCATCATTTTTTCAAGACTTACACAAGAAGGCGGAGACCATTCAGGGGTACATAGGGTACATAACAATAGTTGACCTGACCGAAGTATGATATACTGATCCGCTGTGGCCTTGGGGGTCTTGGTTACGGTTCTCGCAACCAGGTATCAGCATGCCTGTCTCTCTTTGTAAAGATACCTAGGGATAAGAGCCCTCTATCTAGCCTGAGCGGATTGGGAATACACCTTCGTGTCACATACTCTAATTTCTGCCTATTTGATAGTACCTACCAGGTGCCTTGCTCTGGCAGAATATAATGGGATGCAAGCTGAGCTACCTGGTGTGACTCATAACGATCAATCCAGCCTTAGACGGCATAGCTCAGGATAATAAATACTGCACACACATACATGTACAGAACGAATATGATTCCCTGTTTACATTTATTCAATGATCCCACATGATTCCGTGGCCCCATGGAGCCTCGTACTTCGTATCAAAATCAGTCGCACCTTGCGCGCATGCAAAGGTCTGCGCCACATAGCACTCTATTGGTAAAAAGGACCCCATGAGTCCAGCCCTGGGGAATCAAAAACGCACATTCTTGCATGCGCCAGCATTACACCGCTGGACGCCAGACCAATACCTCCTGCAGGAAAGAGGCTGCCAGGGAATCATAGGGGAACCAGAGAAGAAATCTGTGCGGCACACCTGCTTGGGTCAACCAGATTATTGCATACTTGTGGAATGACTTTCTGCAAGACAGTCTCCATTTACGGTCAACGGGGGCATAGTTCGTGTTAGACACGCCATCTCAGTCACAGTGACGGGTAAGATGTCTAAGAGCAGTTATGGTGTCCCCGAGAAATTACAAGTGCTTGCAAATGCTAAGCTTTTCAAGTACTTTTATAGCACGGGGGGGCCATTGGCTCACTCAACAAAGCCCACTTCAGCCCGGTCAGTCATCAGACTTTTCTGCCTAGATACCTTCCTAGAGATCGGCGTTTAGGGATCGATTTGACACGTAGAGGCTTGAGGTACGGACAGGAAGACAGGCTCGGCCACTGCGGAACTTGAAGTCTTGGGTTCATGGCACAACTGAGCTAAGATGTCTAAGTATAAAGCCCCTCCGTTCTGACTAGGCCTGGTAACATCATTCTCATGCTTCAAGTTTCTCTCCAACTCTTTTCTTGCACGCAATACATCAACCGTACCTTATATTCACTCTTTAGGGACACCGTTGCACCTGCTGAAGTTGCAGCGGAGGTCCTGCGGGAAACACAATCTGCCAGTAGATCTTGACCCTTTTTACTCAGAATTACATTCTGTCGTTGCTGTTAGGAAGCCAGCCAACTGAACCATCGCTAGCAAACCACCACCTGCACGATGGGGATTGTTTGGCTCTCGAAACCCCTTTTAGCACCAGACGGCCGCAGTCATGGGCACAACCGCAACTTGGACACCAAGAGGCACGGGTTCCGACATACAGCGATTGCGTCGACTCGGCGACTACTACCGACAACATCGACCTCGGCGCGTTGGAAGGGTACCACATGTTATCCGTGCGACCTGCCCAAAGCATTTGCAAACACCAAGGATTTCAAGAACCCCTTTGGCGCGGTACACCTTGATCGTCGAGACTTTAGAGGCACAGGGTGCCTGAGTACATTCAAGACCAACTCAAACTGCAACAGACATATTCGAACTGCTCTCAATTGTCAGGAACGGGGCGCCATCGTCGAAAATCTACGCAACACACGATCGGGGTTTCCTCAAATGGGTTTTCCCCTCACGCCTTCCCCGTCAGCATTTGATATATCTCACCTCAACTCGAACATTCGGCATTCTCTTTGGTCGAGGCATGAAAGAACAGGAGAGGGGATATCATGTGCTGTCATGTGTCCTTTCTGCTTGGTTGGGAATGGACGGTCCTGTCTTTGGCGAATGACACCGGTGTTTTGAAACCAACAAGGCGCGATTGAAAATGGCAGGGGGCTGCTAATTCTCGTTGCGCTTATTTCTTCTGTCCCTGTCTTCTCTTTGCACGCGGCCTTCTTACAGCAGGGTCATGGTTGCTGACCTGCGAATTTGGGTTTGGAAAGCTTTACCCTGTGCTTGATCACTATTTCGGAATTTAGTTGATGTTGGCTTTAAGCCCTTTGGCAGGCATTTTCTTTGCCTTTCCTTTGCTTCTTTGCTCGCTTTTCTTGCCTTTTGCTCACGGCCCGGGCTTTCATCACCACATGTATTTCTAGCCACTTCACCTCTCATTCCGGTAGATTTATACATCATCTTCATCTTTCACACCGTTGAACTTTTGCATTTCAGTTGGTTGCTTTCACTCTTTTTTGGATTTGAACGTTTCTTCCCTGTAAGGTTAGATGAGATCGAATAGATACACCTAAGGTACCCTAGTTTCTATACTTGGCGTACCTACCATATTTCGCAATCCGCCACCAACTTCGTCATAGTCAGTGAGTGTTTTCGGGCTGACTTTATTCTCGGGAAAGGAAAATGAAGAGTTCAACTCCCCAACAGCGGTTAAAGTCACTCCCTGCATTTGGATTGGTGATGATCAATATAAAAACCGCAGTATCGGCGGCTAGTATAGCCATCCGTATTTAACCAGCACCATACCCATCGGGCCGGAGATATTTTGCTTCATGCCCAAACAAAATACCAGCCGCATGGCGCCAGAGTGCCGGTTACCCCAGGTTTGTGTAGATGAGTTTTGATGATCCATGCCACCCTGATCTGCTGACAGCCCTGCTCTCCCCTCCACAATCGCCACCCATATTCTCGAGACGGTATTCCGTTCGCCCCCCACATGACCCGGAAAAGAGCAGTATTTGAGTGTTCTGGGAAGGAAAAACTCGATATAACTTCCCCATCCCCACTCGTGTGACATACACCCATTTCCTTTACACCAGTATCTGCTTCTGCATCTTCCTAGTCAATATGCTCGCAGAAACCCTCACCACGGGGCTGCTGCTCATCACGAGCGCCAGCGCCCTCCCAGTGATGAGCCCACTGGAGTACGTCAAGCGAGCCGTCAACCCCGGCGTCGTCATCAGCAAATGCAGCCAGCCAAACATGCTGGCACTTGCCTACGACGACGGTCCATACACATACACCTCTCAGCTCGTCGACATCCTCGACAGAGGCGGCGCCAAGGCCACCTTCTTCTGGTGCGGTACCCTGTACGGATGTATCTACCGCCAAGAAGCCGCCGTCAAGAAGGCATTTGCCTCTGGCCATCAAGTTGCCTCTCACTCATGGTACAGTACTCCCCTTTCCACCTCACCCGTCCATCATCAGTCTAATAACCTGCCACCAGGTCCCACAACAGAATGGGCTCCATGAACGCCAACCAAATCCGCACCGAAATGACCCGTGTCGAAGACGCCCTCGTCAACATGGTCGGCGTCAAACCCGCCTACATGCGGCCTCCTTATCTCGACACCGGCGGCCAGTTCTTGAACACGATGAAGACGATGAACTACAAGGTCATCACCAACGACATTGATTCCGGAGACTGGAACAACGTCAGCCCCCAGCAAGCCCAGCAGCGGTTTCAGCAGGCGGGTGCCCGTGGCAATGGGCATATTCCCCTCATGCATGAGGTGTATCCCGGAACGGTTAACACGCTGACGCCGTGGTTGATCAACTGGGCGAACCAGAATAACTTGAAGCTTGTTACTGTTGGTAAGTTGCTTTGACGAAGAAGAGTCAAGGTTTTGACAGTGTGCTGACTGAGATGGAAATAGCTGAGTGCGTTGGTGATCCAGAGGGCTCATATCAGCCTGGTAATTGGACTGCAAAGGTTGGGCCGTACAACTGCTAAAGCAAGTGTGTTGGACTGGTCATGTTCAGGGGTAAGATCACCTTTCCAGGGAACTTGCTGCCCAAGACAACACGCAGGTAGCCACCAAATGCAAACACCTCAACCAAGGGGTCTCTTCTCACAGAAAAAACTGCAGTCGTATCCCAACTGCCAATCCCACTACCAATAGCGTACCGATAACACAAGAACCTCAACGCTGGGAACTCGGCCCGAGGCTCATGCATATCATCCAACCGTCATCCTGACACACCTGCAGCAGCCGAGATACCCGTCACACCGAGGCTTGGCTACCACTTCGGAAAAGAGTGAGGCTGTCAAAGATAACTCTGCATCTTTAGCCTCTTGTCAATCCTGCCACACATCCTTTCGCAAGTCTAACATCATTCCCAGGGTCACAATGAGGCCCTCACCAACACCACAGTGCCAGTACCTGACAAGCCATACCTGCATGACTAGACCTCAACTACCGCCGTCACTGCGCCATCGACTAGCCACATAGCCGTTACAACTCCAACGTCCCGATAATGCACCTTTAGGTTGCTAAGTTGTCGTCCTGTCCCTGCCTTGTTTTGTCAGCTCTTCTGCAGTAGCCTATCCTATTTGGAGCTTGTGTCTCTTCTCATCCAAGCTTATGATATCTCCAACCAAAGCAATCGACTGCCTATTATTAAGGCTTGTTGCTGTTTGCAACCTAAGCTCTGACCTTGATCCAATCTTTTCATCAGTCAATGTCCTGAACTCTACTCCGTAGCATCCATCACAATTCCAGCACCAAGCATCAAGCATCAAGCATCAACCACCAAGCACCAAGCCTCACACTCCACCCCAACGCCCAGCCTTTCTTTCCAACAACAACCGTTCCACAAACCCACTCTTCAACCACATGGGAAAGTGGAAACAGCGGAAGATGCCCATCCACAGCGGAGCTACGGTCCAGAACCTCTTCTGAACCAAAAAAAAAAAAAAAAAAAAAAAAAAAACCCGCCAAACGGGAAGAGTGGAACCCATCATCATGAACAATACATATGCAGCACCATCTGCCTGCCACCGCAAACTCCCAAGCGCTAGCCAAAATGTCGACATGTTCCATCGGCTTTTCGTCCCTTTTGAGCTCTTCCCCCCCCCTCCTTTCTCAGCTTGGTCGTGTGGGTGGGCATGCAGCAGCACCCTTATTACCCACCGACGACGCTTTCCCCATCCGCGTTAGTATTGCGAGTGAAACTCCTTAGGTAATAAATTCCACGACGGCTCATCGGGACGTTTTGACGGCACATTTTCCCAACCAACCCATCATGAAACAGATCCAGAGAAAACAAAAAAAAATGGCGATAATCGCGAGCGAGTGCGAGTCCCGCTGAATGCTTCCTTCCCAACCCCTCCCGACATCGGCTTTGCGCTGTTTTATTCTTACGTCTTGGACAAGAGATCGATAATGTCGGCCATTCTTCCGTTTCAAGTGGACATAACGGCAGCTTCGGATTTTAGACCACGACCAAAAAACCAAGTAAGAATCAGACCGCGGCCCGATGGTTTGGAAGGCACGCCCATCCATCCTTCCCTCCCGCTCATTCCAAGCGAGGGCTTGGCTCGTATTATTACCGAGACATGAGGTGCCGGTAGCGGGTAGGATTGATAGGGTGGCTGTGGTGTGTGGGGAAATCGACAGATGTCATCCTACACACCTGAGCGGGACACGATGCGGAAGGTGCTCTTCTCGGCCTCAGAAGTGACCGATGTCCGACACAGGCCGCCGGCGTGCGGTCAATGCCAGAAGAGGGACGGCACCCGTGCCAAGCCGGAGAGGTGGGGAACTGAAATAGCTCGGCGCCGTGATGATGTCCCGCCGCCGGTACCTGAGCTGATACAGCTTGTTGTATCCCAACAAACTACGGGATCCACACAGCTTCATCAAATTCCAGTTCAAACCCTTCTCCTTCAGCGCGATGATCCAAACCAACCTGATCTCCGCGAATAGACCGAAACACCCACAGCACAACAATCCGACACCATCTCCCAATATGGTGTAACAAGCGTTAGTGTCGGCCGCAAGCGCCCTACTGCTGCGCTAACAGCTGGGCTTAATAAGAAACAAGGCCCCCCCCCCCTCAAAGATGTTTCGCTTCCCGCAAGTGAAGCCCAATGAAGCGATATTGAACCAGGAGAACTAAGGCCGCCCCAGGACGTCCACGATTGTGAGTGAGACATTCCAGAAGGGTTCTAACGCTGGCCGGGGAGGTGGTGTCGGGGGGCCGCAGATCTGGTTCCCAATTGGTTCAAATCTGCGCGCCACGAAAGGAGACATCCTTGAGGTCGGAGCGGACTCCGGTGGGATGAAGCCAACCAGGAGTGAGGAAAGTCGCGACCAGAAAACGCGTTGATGAAGTGCTGGAACTTTCGGTGAAAGTGCTGAGATTCGGGAAGAACTTTGGAGGTAGCTGGGACTCGATGGCTCCTGCTCTTTTCAATCCTCTTGTCCCTCCTGTTCCATTATCAACGGGTTTGCATAATGTGATCTCTGGGCGATCCTTGCCAACAGCTTCAATGCATCAAAAGGGCCAGACGGAAGGTTCTTTCCCGCCATGATCCCGCCATTCTTCAGGTACAACTCGGCATGACTATTCTGAGATCTCGACTCGATGTCATGTCGCTTTCGCTCACTTTCTTATTGCTGATGCAGGTCGACGAATATGGAAGTTGACCTGAATGCTGGCGTGGTGAAAAGCGGGCCAAGACCGCCAGCGACCTTTAGCTTGTCCCAGCTCCATGCCGGCGGTGTCTGGAATCAAGTTTCGTCGGTCCAATTGGCCAGCCCCTCGTTCAGGGTTCGATAAGTTGACATAGCCTCATCAGCTCGTGACATCAGCAAGGTGCCGGCATGTCTTCGAGGTATGCAATGCAGGTACCTATGCCGGACATTTGGGGTTACTTGGCCAGTATTCATCACGACAACACGACATCGCGACCATGCACCACACCAACGCGCCGGGGAGACGACTTCTGCGACCTAAAGGAGGCCGTTCTCCTATCGGGTTCGGCCCTTGCGGCATGCTCGTCAAGCGATAACACTTACATACGGCGCAGCAGCATTACAGAATCAACTTGCCGCATATACCTCGTCATGTCCAGCAATGGTATCTGGAGAAAATGATGTTAGTCCCCAAGTCCTGAATCCAGCTATAGCAATAGCATGCTGATCAGAGACCACTAGGTCAAAGCAACAGGTACGGAGTATACCAGCGTCGGTGGCATGATAGCACGCCTAACCCAATCTCAGCTGAGGGAACGGAACTATCGTGAAGCCAAGGGTCCCGGTGACATGGTTTCGGTAATTTAGTTTAGTGTCGCGCCGTGGAATGTCTTTCAGGAAGGGATAGCAGCTTGGCTCGAGGCTTGCATGTCAAAGGTTTGGGTGCTGATAAATGATAAAATTACTCGTCAGAAAAGAGCCTCAGCGTTGCAGGGCAGCCTCGACAATGTCTTGGTACTGCAGAAGAGATAGAATGCGGTAGCCGAAGATAAAGTGAAAACGAGCATGAGGAAAATCGACCGACATCTCGAGTGCCGAATCGCCGAGGACAACGGTGATGACGAAGGAAGCTCGGCAGGGCCATTCGGATGGGCCGAAGATTGACCATGTCGGCGTCGATCGTACAAGTGAACCATCAAGGTGCTGAGCGACAAGATATCCTTCCCTTTGCGGTGATCTTGGTTATCCATGAGCACCGGGCTCAGAGTCTAGGCCATCGCGGGTGTGGAGGACGGTGAGGATTTGCAAACAAGATCACCTGCCATATTGAGAAGCTTGTTGTTGATAGCAGACGAAAGGTGAAGTTGAAAGCTTCTCTCGGTGAAGCTATCAGAAAACGGCCGCGTCGGGGATGGTGTCGCAGGATGGTGGTATCTTCGGCTCTTTTCGCTGGTGAAGCCGAAAAACCCCACATAGCACCGGGACCTGCCCAATCTGGGGCATTGGGCAGTGGAAGCGGAGCTGGTGGGATGAAGCTCTGGCGATTCATGAGACAGACGCAGGCGATGACTCGCGTGATTGTGTCCTTTCAGAAGCAGGTGAAGCTTCCACTGCTTCTAAAAAGCTTCCAAAGTGGGCCCTGACAACTTGGCCAGGTAAATGCCTGCAGAGCGAGGCAATTTTCCACGTGTTCTGGCAAGCCCAAGGAATGAAGCTTTGACATATCGATTGCTTTTTCCCCACCATTGGGCCAGACGCTCCGAGACCCCTTCACTGCCTCAACCAGGACTTTCCTTGTGAACGGAGGAGTTCGTCTCGTTTTTTTCTTCGACACCGAATGGCCTTTTCGGGGTTTCGGCATCAGTGGCATGTGAAGAGGGACTTCCAGCTTGTCTATTGTCGGAGTTGCGGTGCGAGTGACAGCGACAATGCGACCGAAGGAACCTGGACGGACGAGCCCTGGGGAAAGCTTGTCATTTCATCAGTTCCATGTTCCCAACCTGGAGAACGAAGCATTCGGTTCGACGGAGATCCAGAGGGAGCAAATCCATGGGTCTGTGTGCCAGACACATCAGATGAATCTAGGAGAATAATAATTATGGCAGGGCCTCTGTTGACCGGTGTGGGTCAAACGGTCGTGCAGAGGAGGAGTGAGCGCGGTCAGCGGCCAGCGCGCTCGCTCACCTGAACGGAATCTCCGCTGTCCCGAAACATTGGTGATTTTGGTGCATTGGCACATTGCGGAAGAGCCCTATGGAGGAAGGTGCACCGAAGTACCGAGTAAAGCCTTTTTGCCCCATGGTTTCGCACCCTGACAACTGTCGCGATGTTGCAATGTCGCAACCGATATTGGCGACAGACGCACAACACGGCAGACACCACGTGCTCGAGTGCTGGTGCGCTCCTCGACGCTCGCGCCTCTCGCCTGTGCTTAGGCTTGTACGGATAGCGGTTGCGAAACAGGCGCTGATTCGCTATGCCTGGTTCTTGGAAGTTGTTGTGGCTTTTCTGATTTCTCTACTGTATTACGAGAGTGCCCCAGGTGACCGGTGCAGTCGATATGGGTATCGAGAGATCGAGACAAGAGACAAGAGATGGCAATGGAACAGCCCAGCGGCTCAATAGCTCACAGCAGGAATGCGCGGAGGAGGTCTGCCCGAGGGATGATAGTTGATAATAATGATGGGCAAATAAATGATGGTTGGGCTGGTACGCTGGCACTGCTGCTGGTTGATGGTGAGCCAAACTGAGGTGAGGGTACTGCGGCAATCGGTAGTGGGTACCTCAGCCAAGCCCCTCAACGCCCCAGGTCCCGACCGTTCTGGCTCTCCCGCCCTCCGTTTCCACCTCAGCACCGCACCTCAGCTGTTCGTTCCCCTCCTTCTCTCCAAGGCATCACGGCCGGTACCTGCCTTTACCTCCATACCTGTGTTCAGGTACTTACTACCTGCCCGCTTCTGCTGCCAGCATACCTATCTATCCGTAACATCAAACATATCCTTTGCTCCTCCTCCTGAGCGGTTTCTGAGACGGATGTGGCTCGACTTCTTTTCACCAGCATTGCAAAAGATGCCGCTTTAGGTTTAGGGAAGATATCGCTATGAACGAGACAACCAATTCGAGCATGGCTTGTCTCAGTTTCTCTCCATTGGGACCTCCAAAAGAACGCTGCCAAATTTTCTTCCAAGCTTCCATTTCCCACCAGGGCAGCCCTGCCCCCGCTTCTCTCACACCCCTCTCGGCCCGGCTCAATCGCTGGCCCCTGTCCCCTTGTCCCCCCCCCCCCCGTCCCCTGTTGACAATGGAGGACTGGTACCTCTAGGTACCTCCCCTGTCCTAGCTCTGTTGCATCCTCCACTGAAGCTAGCTTCTCCAGTAGTGCATATTTCCCGACCCCTACCTCACCACACACCCAGGCTTCGAGTATGCATGGTCGATAGCATGGGTTCCCGGTCTCGCTCTCCGGCTTGACAGCTCTCCTGCGGCTTCTATATCTACTGTACTCCTCTCGACATCCCACAATACTATCTTGACTTTCGATCCCACGTCACTCCCAACATCTACGAGCTCACTGATTTCCACATCGAGTCCAAGACTCTACACCACCAGATCCTCAGCCACCTCAGCTTTGTCTTTCACCTCCATCCACCACCTCAACCAACCACCCACAACAACTCAGTCAAAATGTGCGACTACACTCAACGAGAATACTCATGCGGTCACTTCCGCTGGATCGCCTCCAAATGGTGCCGGGATTACACTCTCACTCACAAGAGATGCCAACCCAACGTCACACACTTTGAGTACCGAGCAGAGGAGCTCTGTGGTATGTCTTCATCACTTCACTCTTTTTTCCAGACCACCATCTAACACATCTTCAACAGGGGAGTGCAAGCCAAAGACCTACCCCCCATGGGAGAACATGATCAAGCGCTCCAACAAGCAGACCCTCTACTAAATAACCCTCAACAACTCTATCTACCCATTTTCCTTTTGTCATTTACACCTAGAGGACACGACAAACAAACCCACGACTACAAGGAGTGAAGGGAACAGAAGGTGGAGGAAGGATTACATCAGGCCATCAACGACACGCGAAAGAAGAGAGATTCGCGAAGCTCAACAGGGCGTTGCCGAAGCGACACCTGGACGGGTTTACGCTACGCCAGGACTTCACAGCACGCCACTTCGCATTCCAATAGGCCGAAAAGCACACAGCACAGAGTCCCACAAACCGGGAGACACAGCAGTCCAGAAGCCCAACAGCCCGGCCCACCAACACCACCACCACCACCACCACACAACTACCTATCACGTCACACCAAATCCTCCGGCTGTTGTGATGTGCTGGTTTGTGCTGTGCTGTTGTGCTGTGCTCCCCTCAACAAGCCCACTGCATCAAAAGTGGTATTTTCCGTCAGCCGCCCAACGCCAAAAAGCCAAATAAGCCGACACTTCTCCACCGACACAACAAACCACACTACCAAGCCTTATGTCACCGTCACACTCGCCTCTTGTCCGGTTTTTTTTCTGTGGCAGGAACACACACATTACTCTGTACCCATCAAGGTGCCCACTTCACGACCAACACGACCACCACCACCGCACCGAATGACAACACATCATCACTCCACAGGGGGTTCTAGCCCTCTCCATTGTACCATCGTCACCACAAACAAATTTGTCGTTTCTTGAGTGTCCTTCACCACATCTTTTTTTTCTTTTCCGTTTTGTCATATATTCATGGGCTACACGAGCAAAGCGAAGCGCTTGACTTTTTCAGGGCTAAGGGACACCGGAGTTTTCACACATACCATTGGTTCATATCTTTTTTTGGGAGGGAAATACTATTACACGGGATAACAAGAGAGGGAGAGAGGTGTTTTTGTATATACATTGGAACCGGGACAGTTTGGGACTATGGGCTACCACAACACCGCACACGCACACAAAATTTTCCGTTAAAGAGAGAAGGAAAATCAGTTTATTGTTTTTTTTGTTTTTTATTATCTTTTCATGGGAGAAAAGAGTTTGCTTTCTCCCTATTGCAAAAATAAAATAAAGAAATGTCATATCATACGCACTTTGTTCCTCATCCATCCCTTGGTGATGTTCCTGATCGCCCTTTCCCAACGTCACATTTGACGTAGGTACAATTGATATCAGAAGCCTAGGTACCTACTTTCGTCCGCCTCACATGTCTCTCTTCTCGGCCCTGATCATCAAAAAAAGACATCGCGAAATGTGGGGTGGATAACCACAAGCTTGACATCAGGGCATCGTCATCCCGCAAGATTACACCGTACCATTGGGTTCAAAAACGGAAACAAATCGTGATCATCATCAGGTTCCAGGCCCGCAAGCAACAAAAAGATTGCCGCATAGCCCAAAATGTTTGCGGATTTACATCTTTGGAAAGGCCTTGCCAGTGCTTGTGGAGTTTTGAGCAAACAATTCCAACAACAGCAGCCCAACCGGAGAACCACGCACACAAAAAAATTCAGAGGCCGATGAGAGAGGCGGGGACATCGCGCGCGCCTCGGCACTTTCCCATCTATCGTAACTTAGCTCTGGTCAACACCACCCCTAGGTAGGTAGGCAGGTACTCAACTGCATCACTTGCATTATTTACTTCCACCAAAGATGACTGCCCAAAAAAAGCGAAACATCTTCCCAGAATGCTGCACGTGGTCAGCATCAGTTTCCCTTTCTCACCAAATCTCTCTCTTGTCTGTGATGAGAACATCAAAGAGAATGTCGTGTGACAAGTTTCGCTCTCAAGTCCAGCCAAAAGACAGACTGGAGATCGTCGACAGGGGTCCCCCCAAATTAACCAAAAGAGGTCAGCCGCGAAAAAAAAAGGGCCCCGCCATGCTGGGAATGACGGCGGAAGTCGTGCGGGTGTGGGTGGTTGAGCGGAATTGGGGGAGGGGAGAGGGGATCATCCATTCGCCCTCCTCCTCCACTTCTTGTGGTTGGTTTCTGATGACCGAGAGAGAGAGAGAGAGACAAGAAGCAAAAAGCCCGGCATTTGTCTAGTGTATACCTACAACAAAATACCTTGCTGACCTTCATCATTGTCAAGGCGGCACAGAGGCGCGGCAATTACTTACTTGGGTGGTGTATCGATACCTAATGGTCGTTGTTGCCAGTTGGTGGTAAAGCTGCGAGGTCCGTTTTACCGCCAATGCCGCGTCAAAGAAAATCAACACAATGCGTTCATCAAGGGGGGGGAATCATCGAACCCCCCACATTTTTGCTTGTGGCAGCAGCCCCGGTTTTGCAACCGGCAGACCGGTCAACCAGACACCCAGACCTTGCGCCCTCCACACCACGACACTGCCCTGCACCACCATCCGTCAACAGATCAGACCGCCTCGCAACGCCAGAACAATGCGGTTTTGCTGGTCCGGGGACCCAGCTTGTAGGCCCGTGGTGGTGTTGACACAGCTCCCGGACTGGCTGGTAGAAGAGCTTTGGTGTGGTCGACAGATTAGATTCCGCTTCACCGGACGCAGGTAGGTTTGTGATCGGTACCACGATGGGCACAGAAGAGTGTTGTCTTTGACGACCTTGACATCGGTATTTTGGGGACTTCGATACACAGTCTCGAGCTTCCGAGCAGGCTCGCAAGTTACACTTGGTATTTGCTGTGCCTCCCGGGGAGCTGGCTGCAGCTAGGGTGTTTACAGTTGGGCAACAACTTGATTGGGGGTTCGACGGCAAGCAGCAGCATGCGAGGGAGGGGGGGGGGTGATATGGAGTGATTGTCCATTCGGTTCCAGTCAGATGGGAGGGCATAAGCAAGCTGCCAACGACAACTATTGACGCCCGATCAACCTCTGATTCTTCAGCTGTCAAACTTCCAATTCTGCATCTTCTGGCCAATTCACGCTACCCCCATCAAGTCCAGGTTGCGAGTCGGGTGTGGATTGGCGAATGAGGTGCCATGGAGACGACAGGATGGTATGGTTTCCGGGGACCGGCGTACGCTCTGCCTTGGAAAAGCAGTCTTGGAACAGGCGCAAAGACCATGACACAAGGCCCGAAGCCACGATCGGGATCTGGGAATCGTATTTGGCGTTGCGGCCGCAAGAAAGATGGCGGAATGCAATGCCAAGTCACCCTGCACATTAATCATCTGGCTGCATCCTCCAGCTTCGGCCCGCGACAAAGCCCTGAAGCATCTCGTCTCTGTTCGCGGATATGCTCAGTGTCCGGTCGACTCAGGCACCATGCGCGCGGCGGGTACCAGTTGCACGGCACCTGCTTTTGCCTGGCAGATCCAGACTTGGCTCGAGGTCGATTCCATGCAGCCACAGGCTGGGCCAACTATTGGCCAGCACTTTTTTCTCTTTTCGGCCGTCAACGATCGGGAAAGCATGGCTTTTGCAGTAGGAATGTCGAGCCGAGACATGATGATGTGGACGGGAGGGCGCCTCACACCGGACCTCGAAATTTTCGTAGACTGGCTTCTGTATGGCCTCTCGAGTTAGCAATGGTAATACATGGGGGGGGGTCCACGTGTCTGTCTTTCGGGATAGCCTTTGGAACGGTGAAGCTGTTGTTGAACTTCGGTACCGAGATGCTTAACTACGGGCTGACAGGTGCTTTCGACGGACCGGCTCAGGCTCGACAGATTCTCGTGGTCGCTCGAATCAGGATGATGTCAAAGCCCCGGTCAGGCTTGAAACGGAGCCCCACGTTGAGGCGCGCGGGGTTGCTCGGAGGGGTTGCTCGGAGGGGTATCCAGCTCGGACCACATGCGATTGTGCCATCAAGACAACTTCCGAAGTTTGCGACAGCTCGACGTTTGGGCGTGAGACATCTCTTTTCTGGGTGTTTTTGGAAGGAATTTCGAGATTCTAATCGAGAGGATGGTTTGATGTGGCATTCAGGGATGTCGCAAGGCCAGGGGGGGTTGATATCAGTTGACGTTTAACTGCTCTGGGACGACATGTCCCGTGGTGGGATGAGTGGCCAGAGGTTGGCGACGTTAGTTGGCCCTTGAGTGACATTGGCTGCATTGGTCTCTGCTAATCACCGAATGTGCAACAAAGTCCTCGCCGTCTCGATGCTGCCCGAGTGTCACCAACACCAACACCAACGCCAACACCCTGCTGCCGGCCGTTTGCTAGTGTCTAGATAACCATCGCGGCAGGCAACACCGCCTGACGGACAGCTACTCCCCAAGTCTGGTACGGCACGACACACCACAGACGGAACTCGGTCAGCAGCGTCAGCACCATCCCGGCACACACACAACCCAGCTTTCCATGCCCTTCTCCGTCCGAGCGCTAGACGGCTCGATGCTATCAGAAATGACAAAGATTCGAAGATCGATTCCAGCGGCTTCCTGCCGTCGCATCGGTATTATGTCTTAGTCAGTCTTTTCTTATGAGATGCTTATAAGCTACAGTACTCGTCTGAAGCTTGCTTTAAACCCCTAATCACATGAGGACGGGGCGCTGCAGCTAGACGCCAGCAGCTAGCCGCGCATGTATAGCTGCTATCCAGGTACTTTGTACGTAGCCAAGACCTCGAACGACTCGAGCTGCTGGCCGTTAACAAGAGTCGATAGGTTCCAACCACAACATGATCAGCACCTTCGGCTTATTTGGCTACAAATCTAGACCTATCCCTGAGTGTCAGTTGAGACGAAAAAGACCCCGGGCTTATTCATGCAAGAGCCTCTGCGGATCCTGGCAGGGACCACGACCGCTGTGAGCGTTACCTCTTGGCATCCCTCTGGTTCGTCGGTTCTCGTTGGTGTCAACGGCGGGGCATGTGCCCTTGCAACCTGCACTTCATCTAAACGACTTGTCGTCGGTCCGCTTGTCCGAACTCGGGAGCCCGGGACCGTTGTGTTCATGTCCAGGGCTTCCTCAACGCCATGGCTTGGAGGATGGGTGAAGTGGTGTTGTGTACGAGCTACCAACTGTACCTCTGTTGGGAGGG